ACCCTGCTAATTTTAACCGTCGGTTAATCTAACCGAACTTGGTGAAATTGGCCCTTATGCCCGTATCAGACTACGCATTGAAAATTGAAGATTAAAGATTAAAGATTGGAATTTGACTAATCAGAACAAAAGAGACTAAAATTTCTTTGTCCTGATTGGTTAAATTTCAATCTTCGATCTTCAATGCGTAGTCTGATACGGGCTTAACGTGGAACGAGAAGGGAACCAATCGCGAGCGTAACAAAAACTGCAGAAAGCTCGTGATTGATTTCACTGGTCTATTTTCCACCGTAAGTATCAATTCGCATCTAGCGCGGCGTAGGACTAAATTTAAGTCGATGAAAACGTTAAATTCGATGCGCACCGAAACAGAATCGGACCGATGACTTCGGTGGAAACCGCGGTCCTACGCCGCGCTAGATGCGAATTAATACTTCGGTGGAAACTACCACTCTCGTTCCGCGTCATGAAGCGCGGAAATGTGTAGTAGCCTAATAATTAACTACCAAACGTTGTAATTAGACTACCAATCACCACCAAACGATTGTCTTTTAATTAAGACCAATTTGAACAAAATTGATTGGTAAATAATATATTTGTTCGGCTAACTTTACAGCTTCCAGTTAGCCATCCCCACTAACTAACCGCACATGGTTTTTTTTTACTTTTTGGATAAATTATGGACCACCAAACGTTGTAAATAAAAGATTTGTGACCACCTAACGATTCTGCATCGAATAAGCCCTGATTTAATCGATTAGACTAAAAATTAAAAATGTCCGGCTAACTTTACACCAATATATTAATTATTTAATTAAAAAAAACGATAGACTACCAAACGTTTTAGTTAGGCTACGAATCATCACCAAACGTCCACCAAACGATTAGATAATTTTAATTATTAAAAAGATAAAGTGGTCCGGCTAACTTTACGGAGCTGGAAAACCACGCATTCATATCATTTCAGTTGGAACCCTGCTAATTTTAACCGTTAGTTCATCTAACCGTACCTGGTGAAACTGGCCCTTAATGACCGCGATGCTCACGGTATTATTTCATCTTTGTTGTTTACCGAAAGTTAAACAAAGACAGATGATACTTGCGAGCGTTGCGGTCGTTAAGTGGAACGCGTCCTATGTTGGTCCCGTAGTGGATTTTACGTGTAAACTAACCGCAACCGGCGTACCGTAAGTGAGAAAAAAGTATATTTATCAAGCGACGCGGTAGCGTCCCGACGCCAAGTAATGTTATTTTCTAAAAAAAAAACATTTTAGATATCTCTGAGACATTTTTAAGACATTTTAGATTACAAATGGGTAGAGTCCTAGAGTATGTTTCCATCGAGGGTTCGAATCGGGTCAGAGTCGAGTCAGAGTCGGGTTGGGGTGAGCGTTCTTACGGTGGAAACATCCCATTGGGTAGAGTTCGACTTTAAGTTTGGTGTTTCCACCGTAAGAACGCTCACCCCAACCCGACTCTGACTCGACTCTGACCCGATTCGAACCCTCGATGGAAACATACTCTAGGACTCTACCCATTTGTAATCTAAAATGTCTTAAAAATGTCTCAGAGATATCTAAAATGTTTTTTTTTTAGAAAATAACATTACTTGGCGTCGGGACGCTACCGCGTCGCTTGATAAATATACTTTTTTCTCACTTACGGTACGCCGGTTGCGGTTAGTTTACACGTAAAATCCACTACGGGACCAACATAGGACGCGTTCCACTTAACGACCGCAACGCTCGCAAGTATCATCTGTCTTTGTTTAACTTTCGGTGAACAACAAAGATGAAATAATACCGTGAGCATCGCGGTCATTAAGGGCCAGTTTCACCAGGTACGGTTAGATGAACTAACGGTTAAAATTAGCAGGGTTCCAACTGAAATGATATGAATGCGTGGTTTTCCAGCTCCGTAAAGTTAGCCGGACCACTTTATCTTTTTAATAATTAAATCCCACCGAAAGACCCCCCACCCCAACCCGACTCTGACTCGACTCTGACCCGATTCGAACCCTCGATGGAAACATACTCCTAGATTATCAGAGAGGCGCCAACTCTATCCCTACCATGCCACCGCCGCCATCTTAGGGCCAATTTCACCAAGTTCGGTTAGATGTGAACATGCTGTTAGCGCTGTAAGCTTGTTTCGGACCGCAGCCTATGTCTATGGATGAACTATAGACATATAGAATGGACTGAGCGTTGCGATCATAGACATAGGCCGGTATTCATAGTCAGTTCTTATTTCAAGACCGTCTTAAGTAATGTCTTAAGATGCTAATACGGCTCTGTGATTGGTTTAGGACATCTTAAGATTGTGCTTAAGACGGTCTTAAATATAAGAACTGACTATGAATACCGACCATAGTATATCTAGACCGAGTGTTGAGGAGTGGGGGCCAAGGTGCACGTAGAAAAGGACATACTCTGTTCCGTGCCCCTTGCGTTCTCTCTCACTCGCATGTAGCATAGCGAAAGAGTACGCTAGACTGTGCATTAAAATTGAAAGTCTATTGAAGGTCTATTAGCGCCGATTTTTAGCCGAACGCACGTCGGTGAGCCGCTCGCCTGATAGCAAACAAGTACCCCAGCTCATGGAACCTCGGTACCCCGAGAACTGTGCTTCTATACTCGTCTATATTCTTTGCTTATGGGCTCGAGCCCATACACAGACTACCGATATTCACTGCTAGTACAGAGAATCTATAGTTTATGTCACGTACACTATAGATTTTCAATACTGACAGTGAATATCGGAACGTAGTCATAGGTCGTGTTCCAAAATTCACTACCAGTACTGTAAATCTATAGTTCACGTAACATATATTATAGATTTCCAGTACTAGTAGTGAATTTCGGAACACGACTATAGTATCAATATATGACTTAACCTTCCTTTATATAACCTTAGAGAGACCCGCTGGTTGGTGTCTTCCGCGGACTTTCGAGAAGAGGAGTAGAGGTAGAGGCGAACGCGGCTGAGAAATTCAAATGTCGTGTCGCGTGTATCGTCTGCGCCTGGCCAGCGAGAAACCAGACAGATCCATTTTGTGCCTGCTCGGCCATTCGGTCGCGTATTGAATGTCTATCTGTCAGTTGTACGCGCGTCAATATGGCAATTTAACGACGAAATCTGTTATGTCCTGAAGCGGCGCGAAAACGCCGAGAAGATACATGTAATTTCATACACGCATGCATTCCATGTATCTTACACATGTGGTGCAACGTAATCACTTTTTAAAAGGATATTTAATAGATGTAAACATGTGTGTGCCTTATCTTACAAAATGTGATTTATTGCATAGATAGTAGAGTTCAATCGTTTGCTTACAAGCTCTACAGCGATGTACTTGTTTACAGATGAAGCTTAATGGCTGGATGCTGGTAGAGAAGTTCATTAACGAAACGGCATGCTTGTAAGAGCCTGGCCGCGCACTGTCACGTGGGATGAATGAGGAAGAACTGTTGAAACGGTCTGCTGCAGAGCGCGATAGGATTTTCAGCTGCTATGATCGCGGTAGGGAGGGCACTGAGATTGATCCCTGGGAGGATCCCGCTTATGAAGTCTATCACACTACAGATAGATATGGATTCATACAGTATGCACATGCATTTAGATTTTCAAAATTAGATGCATATGATATTAACATATACAGGGTGTTTTAGAAATCTTCAACAAACTTTGGGAGTGAACTCTCCACACAAAAACAAGAAAAAAATGTCATAAATATATGTTGACCAGAAATGCTTGATTTATGAGTTATAATCGAAACATTTCAACGACCAAAACTGACAGAATATACCTACAATGACGTATGACCAATGTAATACATTTGCAGTTCAATTGTTTAACTATTCACAATTCATAACAAATGCTCAAAATGTCCTCCACCTGTTTCAATGCATACATGGACATGTCGGATCATGGACTGTCGCACCCTTTCAAAGATCCCATGATGGTTACAAATGTTTTTGCAGGCATCTATAATGTATCGGTGAAGCATCTCTTCATTTGAAATTTCAGTTGCATAAACGGGCTTTTGAGTGTCCCCACAGATAAAAGTCTAATGGATTTAGGTCAAGCCATGGTACTGAATTGAATGTAATCTTTTGATTATAACTCATGAACCGAGCATTTTCGGACATATGTTTATATAACATTCTTTTCTTGTTTTTGTGTAGAGAACTCATTCCCAAAGTTTGTTGAAGTATCTCTGAAACACTCTGTATATGTATTGATATGTATACTGATAATCTCAAATCATATCATCTCACCTGCAGCGATAAAAGATTACCACAGAAGCCGGATTCATACCAGATCAAGTTACATCATGTGGAAATGGAGAGATTGAAGAAATGGGAGAAGATGACAAAACAATGGGACAGTGCCTCGACCAAGGAAAAATTGCGTCGTAGAATATACAAAGGGATTCCTAATAGATTTCGTGGTCAAGTATGGACTCTACTCTTAGGCATCAAGAATCTCAAAAAGGAGCAGGCAGGCAAATACGAGGAGATGCTACAACTAGCTCGCCAATGGTCCACAGAGATACGACAGATCGATGCCGATGTCGCCAGACAATACAGAGATCATATTAACTATAGGTATGATACTAGAAATGATACAAAATCGTGCTTTGTCATAATTATGTATCTGAAAAGAACAATACAATATGTTATCATTATCTTTTCAGGGAGAGATATAGTATAAAACAAAAATCCATGTTTTACGTACTAGCGGCCTATAGTATGTACAACATGGAGGTAGGATATTGTCAAGGAATGTCCGTGTTAGCTGGTTTGCTGCTGCTTTACATGGATGAGGAGGACGCATTTTGGGGCCTTTCTGTGTTACTTGCCGATCAAAAATACAGCATGCATGGTTGGATTTTTTCTACATCAAAATAATCCTTTGGCATCATTTTCATCACAGAATTAAGTTGTTGTCTAGAGGTTCATGAATACGAATGAATGGCAAGAATAGAGAATTATTAATGAGAAAAAAACCTTTAATACGCATTTCTGCATAAATTTATCATATAAAAAAAAAAAAATAACAATGTAGCCTCTCAAATGTTAAAGGTCGTGCCAATCATGTTTATGAACCTCTGGACGTTATTGACATTTATCAGTACATTGAAGTATTTATACTTGTAATATATGTTACAGGCTTTTATGTAGATGGATTTCCAAAATTAAATCGTTTCATAGAGCACCATGACAAGATAATGAACAAATTTTTGCCGAAATTGAAACGGAAAATGGATAAATGCGGCTGCGATTCCATACTTTATGCATTGAAGTGGTTCTTTGTTGTTTTTCAGGAGAGAGTATGTATTTCTTCTTTTCTTTCTTTCTTTCTAGATCATATTTTTTTAGTATCATTCTTTTTCTTTTCTTACACATTTTATTACTCATAGAACAAATTTTTCGCGAGTAAGCATTTCTAGTATTTATTTTTCAATCATGCATAGAATGTAGCACACAAGACTGCTTCATAGATAATAATATTCTTGCTCAATCAAGTTTGATATGTCAAATATAGCTTGTATAAAAACTATTTAGAAATCCTTAACCATTTAAGAGATACATTTGCAAAATATAATATATATATCTTTTTCTTAAAAAATAATTTATATAACTATTGCATCCTGGAATGCGTAAGAAATATTAGTGAATGTCTTTGTAAGATATAAAATATTTTTGACGATATTAATCTGCTCGTCGTAGACTCCCGTTAGTCTCGGTCTTCGTATTTGGGACATATTTCTATTGGACGGTGATCGCATACTGCCGGCGATGGCGTACACCGTGATGAAGCTACATAAGCGATATCTGATACCGATGGAGAGTCTCGACGAATTCTGCAATTATCTGCAGATCAAGTTAGAGAAGGACTTCTGTTTTGACGACGACACTGTGATCAGTACAATGGAGCGCAGCATGGAGGAGTTAAAGCGTGCCAAATTAGACTACCCGGGTGTACCGTTGCCTCATGAACTGCCCCGTTTTCCGTTTGGCACTTTCAAGGAGCCTTCGTTTACTAACAAGGTATTGTTAAAGAAATCTGCTTTACAAATAGCAAAATACCAAAATATTTCTGACAATACATGTAATAGATGCGATAACAAACAATATATGTTAAGAAATGAGAATGGAGAAAAAACCGTGAAGACTTAATAAATATTGCATTAGGATTCTACCACTATGCATGTATCTGAATGTTCAATTGGAATAACATTAAAATTCACTTCTATTATTAGCTGACGATTTTGTATTTAAAATTTTAAAATTCTTTTTTCGATTGCTTGTAGCTCAAAAAATACTTAGCCCGTTTGTCTGTGTTTAAAAAAATTGTTTTATTTTTTGACAAGATATATTATCTCTGTACTCTGTTATAACCATAGTGGTATAGATACTAATATATTTTAACATATATCTTGTACAATGATTATAGTAAATATTACAACACCCATACGCGAAAGTAATCTAGCAATCAAAGAGAATATTCTCTTTTCTATAATTTTCCCGCATTATGATAGCATCGTTTCATATTCGTCTAGGTTGGAAGGCGAAGCGAGGAGTTTAGCGAAGCTCAGCATGTAATGCGAGAATCCGTGGCGCAGCGCAGGGACATGGCACTGATCGACAACGGCAGGGAGAGTACTACGCCCGTCGAACCGACCAGTGGCCTTGGCGGTGAGTTCAGCGATAGCCGCGACAATAGCATACACGATAACAGCACAGATAATAGTACTTCGCGCGTCGAACGTGACAGCGATTCCGAGGAGGAGAATAACATTGATTCGAACGCACAGATAACAGTTATCTACAATACTAGACTGTAAGCGGAACACGGTGCTTACGCGTCGCAAGGATAAACTTCGCGACACGAACAATTTTGCTCAATGAAATTTTTGACGTCGAGATGTCGAATATAGTTTGTAGGAAGCCTTTGCTACACGCGATACAAAGCGTAAAGATATATTGTTCTGTATAGCATATATATACATATATATATATATATATATATACATAGTTGTACACAAAATGATTTATATACAACACAGTTCCAGTTCGCATTGTATAGGAATGCATCGGAAGTATATATA